CTCAAATCAAAGTTCATGTAAAAATTTTAGCTTACATTTAAAGAAAGTTACGAAACATAATCCGTTAGAATACATATATATCATTCATTCTATTTTGTAATTTCATACATACTTGTAATTTATATGTAGTTGAAGTTAAAAATGGGTTAAGTGTGAGTGGCCTTAATGACAGACTTCACTCATGTAATGCTAATAAAGACTATTTATTATTATTATTATTATTATTATATAAATTTCTATTTTCCATGAAAAAAAAATCTCGATTTAACGAGTGCAATGGCCATCTAATTAAGCAAAATAATATATGTTCATAGACACGCCACTGAATTCTTTAAAATAAATAATGACATTTGCATTCACGCTGTCATATTAACGATATCGTTATGACACTGCGGAGATGAGGTTTGCATTTTTTTAAGCGAAATGGAAATTCCTTAAGAATGATTGCAGAATGTAAGAAAATCAGTGGCGTACCAGCAGACTGGTGGATTTTTACACTAAATAATGCCCCACGTATGTTCATATGAAGTTTTCTCTTTACAACGGAAAATTGCGCTCTTAATTAGCAAACACCCTGTATATATGCACTGCGGATATAATCCCACTGCGTGGTGATTGCGGGGCCGCCGTCAGGTGCGCACCTGGGGCGACAATAAACGCAGCAGAAAAGTCAAAGTCGCCCATAAAAGTTGCTCGAGCTGCGGCGACCACGACGGAAAACGATCATTTCGCACGTCCTGCATTATGACTCCCTCCACCGCCCCGCTCCGGATACCAAAAATGATTATTATTCCGGGGGACTGTCGTTTTGAACGCGACATATAAAGTCAAACGAGAAATTTAGCGCGAATTTAAATAACAAGGGAAATAATCGACTATCTGAACAGTTCATTTTAAAAGTGAATTTAATTTATCTTTTGCGGTTAAGATATATGGTTGACTTGAAATGCTAAATCGCATTTAAGGGATTTAATTTTATACATCCTAGTAAAAAGTCGCTATTATTAAGTGTATAATATGACCTTTCTTACCTTAACCCACATTATCCCAAGCACAAAAAAATTAAAAAATATTTGTCTGCTCTGAAATTACACATTACATTACATGTGTCAAAAAAAAAAATGAAAACTCGAAAAAAAGAAAAAATACTGGTGCGTAAACGAACCACTGAGAAAAAACATTAAATAATGTTTTGGGGCACATAAGACGTAACATATTCAAATTCGACAGAAAAAAAGCAGATTATTTTCCAAATAGAACCTGATTTCATACATGTTACATTTATAATAAGCTACTGAAGTATAAGGTTGTTCGGAAAGTCATTTCGTTTTTTCCCGTCAGAGGACTTAATTACGTTTTTTCGAAACCAACTTCACACTTAAGCCGCATAACCATTATATGTCTTGAGAGCTGATATTGCAAGGCTTGTGTGTGAAAAAGTTCTATTAATTCTACGCAGTAGTTTTTGGTTGGTGCCCTTTTAAATATGGAGAGCAATAAGCAGCATTTTCGTCATATTTTACTTTTTCACTTCAGAAAAGGTAAAAATGCTGTCCAAGCGAGAAAAAAATTGACGGATGTGTATGGAGAAGGCGTGTTAACAGTACGCCAGTGCCAGAACTGGTTTACAAAATTTCGATCCGGCAATTTTGATGTCGAAGATGCACCACGCTCTGGAAGGCCGGTCGAAGCTGACAAAGATGCGATAAAGGCATTAGTTGATGCAAATCGGCGAATAACCACACGAAAGATCGGTGAGAGATTAAATTTGTCGAATTCGACTTTTTATGGCCATTTGAAAGGCATGGGCCTAACCTCGAAGCTCGATGTGTGGGTGCCCCATGTCCTTACGGAGCGAAATTTGTGTCGTCGCGTTGACGTGTGTGATTCGCTCCTCAAACGTCAAGAAAATTATCCATTTTTGAAGCGGATTATTACTGGGGACGAAAAATGGGTCGTATACAACAATGTTAAACGCAAGAGGTCACGGAGCAGAAAAGATGAACCGGCTCAAAGCGTGTCAAAAGCCAACATTCACCAAAAAAAGGTGATGCTCTCCGTTTGGTGGGATGTCAAAGGAATCGTTTTTTTTTTTGAGCTTTTGCCGGACAATACAACGATTAATTCAGAAGTCTATTGTCATCAACTGGACAAATTGAATGATTCACTTAAAGAGAAGAGGCCCGAATTAATCAACAGGAAGGGTGTAGTGTTCCACCAGGATAATGCGAGACCTCACACAAGTTTGGTCACTCGCCAAAAACTTTTACAGCTTGAATGGGACGTACTGCAACATCCACCATATTCTCCAGATCTGGCGCCTTCCGACTACTATTTGTTCCGGTCCCTGCAAAATTTTTTGGATGGCAAAACCTTTACCTCAGATGAAGATGTCAAAAACCACCTGAACCAGTTTTTTGCCAGTAAGGACCAAAACTTTTATGAGAGGGGAATTATGTTATTGCCAGAAAGATGGCAAAAGGTGTTGGACCAGAATGGCCACTATATAATTTAATAAAATATGTATTCATTATACGAAAACTGTCTTTCATGTTCCCCAAAAAAAACGAAATGACTTTCCGAACAACCCAATAATTAACTTTGGGGATGGGAACGCTTTTGATACTCGCTCTTAATCTTGTTTTAACGCACTTCTAGCCGATTCTGCTAGCTTCAAATGAATGTCACGTTCCATAATTTTTTTCTGTTCTTCATGGTTTTCTGATGCTTTGACTTTGATGTTTAACAGATCACATGTTCGCGTGGTTGGTGGAGCAGTAGATTAAAATCTTTTTTGATTATTTTTTTATAAGCCCATTCATTAACTACTTTTAAATTATTTTCTTCACAGTGAGGCTCATAAATATTAAACATTTCTTTTTATAGTCAGTTCAGGATGAAGATATTTTCTGTCGAAATTGTTAATATGGTTTTGAACAATCGTATTTGCTTCATCACGTATTTTTCTCGAAGATCCAGGCAAACGTGATCGTAATTTTTTTACAAACAGTAACTTTGCCTGTTTTAGAATTTCACCAATACGTAAAACTCTCATTTCGACATGAACCTTTTCCGTTTCTCTGGCGTCTTCTATTTACAACGCTGCGTCCGGTCGCTTCGTATAGCAATATATTTTCCTTAATCTTAAGTTTCAAAACATTTCGAAAATACGTTTTCTTTCTGTTTAAGTTAAATTTTTTCCACCATGGCAATCTTAATTTTGAAAAACTTTGGCAGGAATAATTTTTCCCCATTGTGTATCGCATCTTTTTCCTGAATTCCGTTTAATTTTACGAATTTTTTGAATACAAGTACCACTCCTGTGTTCTCTGAATCCTTCTTTGAAGGTGCTGTTTTGTAAATTCTCATTCACAATTACTTCCTCTTCCTCTGTTGAAGAATGAACTTCTAAAATTCTCCTTGTTTTTTTAAATCTGTTCTATGAGTTTAATTCCTCAATACCGATTCATTTTTTTGACAGTTCAACGTAAATTATAAATGTCACAACTGCCAACTTAATAGAAAATGAAAATTTACTTAAGCCACTTTCAAAATAAACGGCTCATATCAATAAAATAAATTTGGTATAGTGCGTTCGCAGATAAATGGTTTTGGATTATTGAATGATATGAAACTAGCTGTCGATAAACATGCAGTAAGTGAGCAATGCAAAAATATATAGTACGGGGCAGAAAATAATAAGAATGGCACAAAATTTCTGTTATATACTTAATGAGATGGTACAGAACAAATTTTAAAATATTAGGTACTTATACAGGATGTTCGAAAATTCAGTTCGGAAACTTGGAAAAAGGATTCAACTTGGTAAAATAATGATAGTAGGTCATGTAACAAAATTTAGAAATCGTAATATTTTCCGAGTTATAACTTGTCAAAATACATTTTTTTAAATTTTATTTTTAACGGAGTGGGCAAAATCTCTATTTTACACGCAGCTCTGATCTAGTAAACGCCATCGCTACAAAATAAAAGTGTTTCAAAAATCTGTCACTAGAGGGCGCTTTACCTAGAACATTTTGTTTATTTTCCCTGTATTTTTTTTTATTTAGACTGATATTGCAAAATAGAACAGATTGCTTCAAGCAGAATCACAAATCCTCAAAAATTGTTACTCTTCTTTTAAGTCGATAATTTTAATACTGACACTGAGGCAAGTCGCGGTATTTTTTTCAAATAGCCCACGTTTTTGTGTGTTTTTAATTTTCCACAATTTTTTAATTTATTGAATCTACGAAGAAATCACTTGAAAACAGTGTTGGGCGAACTTTGATTTTTATAAAAAAAAAATCAAAAATCATTGATGTTTTTCAAAAAATCATGACTTTAATTTTAATTGTTTTTTTTTTTATTTTGAAGTTCCTGTGCAAATACGTCAAAGAACATGTAGTCCAAGTGACGTCAATTGTTTGAAGCTGTACGTCACTCAGTCGGACATATTATTAAAAAAACAAATATTGTCTTAAATATCTCAGACGTTGTAGAGCAGCGGAAACATTTACTACATATTTTCGAGAATGTTGTAGAATTACCATTATCAAAAATACAAAAAATGTCCATTAAGAAAAATAAGGTTTTGGATGAAATAATAAAAAACGTAAATGGAATCCAGTGGTGGACATTGCAAAAGGATGAGCCAGAAGTATGCAATACTACACGACGAAAATTCGGAGGAATTCATTTTTATTTTATCACTTGATTAAAATCAGCCCAATCATGTTTCTCCTTTAAATTTTTTATTCACATTTACTAAAAACATAACTTTTGTGTTAATAAACGTTTAAAACATTTTTGCTATATATTTTACGTGGTTATTATTGTATTCAATATTTCAGACGTATCACTTAGCACTTAATTGTCTCCGGGTTATTGAGGTTACGCGGCAAGGACCGTAAGAATAAATCTAGCCCTTATCCGGCAACGAAAAACAGAAGAATGAGATGCACGCTTTGCGGCGCTTACGAGCGTCTTCGTCCGCGTACCTGTAACAGGGTCAACACCAGGAAGAACTGCAGGAGAAAATATCCATGGGTCATGCTCCTACACAACAGTCGCCACACGACACTGCACATCATCACTGTAACAGAGGCGTCGGTTCTGCGACGTCGTCCGCATCGAAACTATCCGTCAATCGCGAAGTCTCCGGTCGTCGAACGACGGACGCGACATATTACTCCAAAACGCGCGCGATCCGCGAGATATATCGTCGGAAAAGTGTGGCACACGACAGCGTTTTACGTGTTAGTACGCGAAACCAACAGCGGCGGCAGCAGCAGCAGCAACAGCGACACGCACAACACAGGACGTTCGCGCGACTACTGAAAGCCGGCGCAGCCGCGGGGCCTCCCTCTCTTCTCCTCGGGGCCCACAGCATCCCGCGATGGACCAATGGCGTGTTAGCTCGCGGGCTTCTTTGTCAGATCACCGAGAGGCAAGCCGCCAGCGCGGCGGCGGTTGTTTTGGCCTGGCCCCGAGGCTACCACTTGTTGCCCCCGATCGGGTTCGAGCCGCGGCCGGTGCCGCCAGGTGGCGCGCGCGCTTGCAGCTCTTGCGTTGCGCCTGGCGCGTGTGTACGGACGACCGCTTAGAGACACGCCGCACACTAGTTGAAACCGAAGATTTGGCTTCGGAAAATTCGTTATCGAAATGAAGTGATATTGTCCGTGCTGTAGGGTTTGAAAACATAGGTTTAGGGATGTTCCGATACCATTAAAATATCGATACCTACTGATTTTGATAGTAGTCAAATGTTTTTCCGATACTACTCAAATAAATACTCCTAAAGTATCGATACTTACTCATATCGATACCTTTAGCACTTTATTATTTTTTTTATTTATTTTAAGGAAACTAACAATGAACGTTGAAGGACAATAATTAAAACAAAATTAAGAAGGAAAAGAAAACTTTTATTATAAACGTTCGCATCACGTTAAGCACGTACTTTAAACACAAAACTCCATGATAACATTGGAATAATAACCCGATGATTACAATAAATAAAATTATTCGTAAGCAATCTCTTGTATAACAATTTATGTTGATTGACAATGAAAAAAAGTAAAGGGCGGACGTCTTTCTCGCGTTTGGCTCGGGCTCGGTCGAGTGAATTCGGACGAGTTCGGCTTCGCTGGCGCGGGACAACACGTCACCACAGATCAGATAGAGATTATGTTTGTCTGATGCGTTCGGTTTTTTTTTTTTAATGGTGAGGCTGATTCGATTTGATACCAAGTACTTTTGTTTCGGTACCGCGTAAGTATCGCAAGATTGATTCGATGCTCTAAATACTCGTATTTACTAGTATCGGAATATCCCCACATAGGTTAATAATCGCCAACATTTATCATGGCAACGTTGCGTTTTGGTTAGAGTTAAGAACTGAAGGTGGGTTGAGTTTGTAAAATGGTGGAAGCAATTAAATGCAAGTTTCATTCTGTTTTCTTAAAAGGTGTTGTTTATTCCCATAAAAACATCAGCGTTAACCACGAACATGTTACGTGGGTATTTTAATTGGAACGCCCCATATTTTATAGTTGCACGTAAATTAGCAATTGGGTATATCTATTTTCACTGGTTTTCGAGTTATAAGCAAAAAATCAAAATATTGCACATAGAAAGAGTTAAAGTAATCACATTTCATATTGACGTTTTGTGTAAAAAAGTAACTGACATGTCTAGGTGGGTTCAGATTTTTCATAAAAGTTGCATTTAAATGAGAAAAACTTTTCTGGGTTCCTCCTGCGTCGGTTTTTGTTGACTCTAACTTGCTAACGTTTCGCCAATCATCCTGTTGGCTTCTTCAGAGGTTGACTGAAACTGTAGAATCCATCTTTGCTAAAGTTCCTATCCCTGAAACTCTCACCATCATTTCAGATATATTAAATTCCGAAAATCTGGAACCAAACCTTCTCACCTTAATTGAAAAATGCTTGTCTGGAACATATTTTTCTTATAACGGTCAAATTTTTGAACAAACGTCGGGAACAGTTATGGGCTCTCCACTACCACCAGTCATTGCGAATATATTTATGGAAGCCTTTAAGAAAGCTGTCGACCAAAACCAAAACCAAAATTATGGTCAGGAATCCCTATTTTCTTAGACATTTAAACTCTATACACCCTAACATACAGTTTACCATTGAGTTGGAAACTGATAATAATTTTCCAGTCCACCAGTCATCGCAGATATATTTATAGAAACCTTTAAGAAAGCTCTCGACACCCTCATTGACCTAGCATTGGGTCATTGTGTTTACAGAAAACTTACGCACACAGATCGATACCTTAGTGCGTTGTCACATCACCATCCGGCCCAAAAATCATCGGTTATCAACTCTCTTGTTTACAGAGTCGTAAATCTGAACCCAGAATTAAAACTACCTCTGCTCTTCTCCCTAATAACTTCCACATTAGAGATATTAAGTGTTCCATCACAAAATACACTATAACCATGAAGCCTAAAGCAATCCCACACTTGCCACTGTTGGTCCTTCCTTACATTGAAAACATCACTGACCACATAATGAAAGTTCTAAAGAAATATAACGTCAAAACCAGATTTACCACTTACCGTTGCCGAACACAATCACGAAACCGGACATTTTCATTCGATAAAACTACTTGCATGTAATCAATTCTGACAGTCTTAACCGCGATGCAGGTCATTCAGTCATCCAAACAATATAAAAGCAGGTAAAGAGTAAAATTCCAGCCAGTTTCAGTCAAGCTCTGAAGAAGCCAACAGGATGATTGGCGAAACGTTAGCTAGTTCGACTCAACAAAAACCGACGAAGGAGGAATCCAGAAGTTTTATAAATATTTGCATGAATATTTGTATTTCAATTACAATGTACCAGGTGCATTTGTTCTTGACAAACAACAAAACATTCTTCTGTACTTCCAATAATCTCGGCATTGAAAAATTTAAAACTTCATGAAGTTTGCGATGGAGTGATAGATGTCAACGTTATGCTTCTTATTAAGTTCTCATGTATCCAGATATAGTTGTTTGGTGAGTCTCGATTAAACAAAATACGCTGACGTTCCTGTACGTCTTAACTTTCGAAGCAGCTGAATGTTTTGTTACCTTTTGATACTTTTAGCTCCTTCTGAAGATTCTGATATGGTTTCAGCATTGACGCAACTTCTTGTTTCCCTTCTAGATACTCATACACATTTGCGTTGCTCAAGAAAGTTGCTAACGAAACTCTAGCAAGGTTGCTGATGAACAGTCGTCAAAGGCTTTGCTTGGACGATCAATGCGTCATTTTATATATATATATATATATATATATATATATATATATATATATATATATATATATATATATATATATATATATATATATATATATATATATATATATTCACGTATTGATTCACGGAATTTACTCGAACCCTGCATTCAACTGGAATCCTGCAGACGTTTCGCCAAGATCTCACTTGGCATCTTCAATGCTCGCGCTCCGACAACACTTCGAACATTGGTGAAATTCCGTACGCCCGCCACTGGTGTATTTAAATGCCTCTTGATACAAAATACATGTGTGCCAAATTTCATTAAAATATTTGAAGTGGTGAACAGATATTAAAAAAAATGTTTTCAATTCACAAAAATTCTAGTACCTTATATCTCAAAAGTTAACACGTTTAGGATATATGATCATATGAAGACTCCTTTTGAAAATGCACCCAAAAACGCCCCCTGAATTATTGACATTCAGTTAGAAAACAGCCTGTATGTAAGTATAAATAAAAATAAAAATAATAACACCTATCGTAATTTTTTGTGTGAAAACTAGCATTTTTTTTTTGAAAAATTAATATATTTGAAAAACTATTTGGCTTAGGTATATATTATTGTTAATAAAACCATTAAAGAATTTCATAACGAATTCATAACAAAATATAAAAATATGACGTTAAATTTAGAAAAATCTCACGCCTTTTTGAGCCACCTGGTATACTTAAAAATAATTTTAAATTTTGTATTCACCATTTTCTTATAACTTTTGAAACCAATGAGATAATGAATCGTTGACTCGCCCTGTACAAGTTTGAGTTTTGCTGTAAACTGTCATCATCATCAGTGTAGAATTGCTAACGGCTTGTCCGTTGAACCAATTTGTTTGTTGTTTTATGCGGAATAAATCGCAAAGCCTTAAGGAACCCTGTTGGACGTTAACGAGACGTATTTACCGACTTTTCAAATTCATCAGATAAGATCAGATCAGATAGCCGCAGTCAAAGAAGCTTCGCATAAAGAAGAACTAGAGAAATATATTAAAAATACTATTTTATTAATTATCTTTTACCCAATTCCGTTGAAAATTGACCACAGTACGAATCTAACTCGACAATCTATCTAGCCAGGCGGTACAATTTTTGTTTGACATTAGTTGTGGCCATTTTTCTTCAAATTGGTTAACAAGTTTTTTCTCTAATTATAAAAAATATTTTGTGAATGAATAAGTAAAGTATTAGAATTATTCAATGTAAGTAATTTAAGAATTAAGTGTCCTGAAATAAGTATCCCCTAAATATTTCAAATTCGACTCTCACCATTAGGATCTCGGTATCGGTAAGAGATACAGGGTGGCTTAAATTATCGCAAAGTGGAGTTATTTTTGTTACTTCCGGAAATATGGCGGAAAATCTGAAACGCTACGTTGCCATGTTATGAGGGCAGCGAGAAAATTTCCCGGCCTGAATATGAAAGAAACAAAGTAGAGTAACAATTTTTTATTATTTTTCAATATAATCCCCCTTAACTTCAATACACTTATTACATCTCTTTATTAACAACTCAATCCCTTTAAAAAAATATTCTTTTGGTTTGTCTGCAAAATGAGCTAAAACAGCTTCTTTTAACTCAACTTCGTCCACGTAAGTACTTTTTTAAATATCCAAACAAATATTAGTCGCTGCGGACCATATTTCGACTACGGGGAGGATGATCTATCTGTCGGAACTCACACTCTAAAATGGCAGCTTGTGCAACACCAGCAGTATGGACGGATGCATTATCGTGCAAAAGACTCACGCCTCTGGTCAGTTTTCGCAATTTATGTAATAATGTTGCGTAATATTTACCATTGACAGTGACAAAAGAATTCCTTCACAATCCCAAAAGATCGTGGCCATCGCCTTTTTTGTTGACTGACAGACTCTGAATTTTTTTGGAGGTACTTCACCCTAACGACGCCACTCAGTTGATTCTTTTATCGATAAAGGGGGTCATAACAGAGAACCATGGTTTCATCCCCCGTCACAATAGTTTCCATCACAGGCTTCCGTTCCGACCCACAGAGTTCCAAAAAAGACCGCGAACACTCGACACGGCGTTCTTTTTGAATAGCCGAAAGGTTTTTAGGAACCTATTTTGCACTAACTTTCTGCATACCTAAATGATCATGCAGAATTCGACGAACACTTGTATCAGAAAGCTTAGTAATTTCTGAGATTTGCTTGACCTTTAAACGTCGATCACTGAATTCCACCT